TACAATCCCTGACTTGCAATCTCCTTGGGCTCAGACCTATGGTGCTCAGTGATGTGTGCATGTGAAAACTATCAAAAGCCACATATGGGGCCATTTTTCAGGACTTTAAACTAGCGGTCGGGGAGTTTTATATACAATTTGGGGCGTCCCCAATTTGATTCGTTGGACTTATAGTCAGCATAAGCTAACCCATTTTCTTTACTATATGTACCTGACCATATGACATTTCCTGTCCCAGAGGATATTAGTCTTTCAAGACCAGCTTGTGTGTGTTTCTGTGTGTATGTTTGGGCTCCAGTGTAAAATATGGTACCTGTAAATCATCTCTATGTTGGTGCACTGAGCTACTCCACAACAGCACGCTCACACTGTGCAGCTATAAGCTACGTGGGCAGAGTCAATCAAATTAATGCTTTCCTTAATCAGACAAATGAACAGATGTGTTTGTGTAGGTGTGTGTGTGTGCTCTTCCACCTGCATTTACTTTTGTGTGTACCTTAAGCTGATAATCCTTCGACGAAGAACAACATTACTTCTTTGGCAGACCTCATGTAATTTGATATATAGACACAACCAGATGTGTTGATATCATTTATACAACATCTTTACTGAGGTTGCTTTTCCTGGTGTGAATTTACACTTACAGTAACTTAGGTGTTGATTGCTTCTGTTTTTTTTCAATTTGATTTAGAATGAAAAACCTGGACAAAAGATCGCTCTCAGGTAAGGACTTTGGATTCCAAGGCTGCAATTAGGCCACCATTGAAATAGCCAATGTTTTGTTACCTTGAGAGGCAGCTGTATTTTTTACAAAATCAAAAGATCACATTCAAATCCTTGAAGCTGATTCCCGGTAATTCCCCAATAAGCAGGGCATGAACCCTCCTTCCCACCAACCGGGTCTCGGGCTTGATGAAATGAATGGTTATTTCATGTTTTGGACCTGGAAGATGTCCACGGTTTTGCCATTACGTAATTTCATAGCCCAGCGCTCCATGTAAATGACGTAATAAGGTGAGGCTACTGTATGTTCAAAGCAAAAATACCATCTCATGAAGTGGTTAGCGTGGCTTCTGCTATAGAATCAGTTATGTCAGAACTGGAGAGTATTTCCTCAGTGAAAGAATAGCAAAGATTGGCACTGAAGGTTTTATCTTGTTGAAAAAGCTGTTTTCACTCTTCTACCACCTGCCTCTCCAGTACATTGATTTACAGATGATGTGTCCAATCACCTGCCCTTTTCAAAATGTTTCCAATGGCGACTTTTCGAGTGTCTCAAGCATGAATATGGGGAGCCAGTTTGGAATTGATTGTCCTTCTCATGGACGATGACACCAAGTACTGCTCCCCTCCATATACAAATAATGAGTAACCTGCTCCACCATGTGATATATAGTAACCCGTCTCCATGGTGATTTATTGAAACACATCGGCATCCTTTTATATTTAGATATATTGAAAAGTGACTTGTTTTAAATACCTTTTTTTGAAGTATGCTTGGCAGTACATATTTCACACTTAATAACCAACAGCGTCAATACGATGCCCTATTAATATGTTATCTTGTCCCAGTGAAGCATTCTGCCTTACAACACTTTGAAAACATTATTAAAAACCCTTAGCATCTCTTCCTTAAGTAATATTTGGTGCAACAAACACAAATATATGACATTATGAGTAATGTATGCCGGGCCATAAGTGCAAAGCAATATCGATCAGAAAGATGTATTGATTCTCTTTTTTAATAAGCTTTACATTTTTTTACGACATCACCATTATGTGCAATAATCCGGAAAATGTTTTAGGGGGCGCGGCTTTGACTCTAAAAGCAGAAAGCATATTTGTAACTGTATTTCAGAAAATGCTCACAACCTCATTTGATCAAGTGATTAGGTAGAGGTATTATATAACCATGACATATTCCAGTTGTGTTATGAATTGAATCTAAGTGCAGCCATTATTAGATTACACTATTGTTTGGTGTGTGATTGATGCCTTTCCTGGATGCAGCAGCACTCAATTCATGCCTTCTGCTCTGTCCATATTGCAAAACCTTTTCTCTTCACTCCAACAACACTCCTTATGTCTTCTCTCTTCACCTAGGGACGACATGATATCTACTGTCCTTCCTCCTGGAAGCTTCCTGAAGCCTCCCATCACCTCCGCTCCATTAAACCCCACCTCAGAGAGACGATCACGCCAGGGAGAATAAAAAAAGCCCATCCAGATTTCATTACGTGGAGTTGAAAATAAAAGCATTTCTCTCGGGGGTCAGGGGATGTGGTGCTGCAGATATGCGGACGTGAATAATTCAAGATGGTCTAAAAGTTCTAGCGAGGGGAGATAGATCTTTTTATATGTTGTGTTTCACTTGAGGCAGAAAGAGGGCACCAGTGTACGCCGGGTGAATGAGAGCAGGTGCAGGGGGGGGGGGGGGGGGGGGGGGGGGAAGCATGTTGGAGGTATGTGAGGTGAAAGGAGAACGCAGAGGAAGAGCATGGAATGGCAAACATGCTTTGAGGAAGTAAGGACAATGCAGCAAAACCAGAAGAGGACAGATGTTGACAAATAAAGTTGGTGTATTGTTGGGTGGAAGAAGAGGAAGTCCAAATGGGGAGATGACGCTGTGGAGAGATAAGAGGATGACACTAATGGCTTTTGGGCTCAGTGCATGCAGCTTTTACGAGAAAAAACATGAATTAGAGATGGCGCAGGGCAGAGCGGCACAGTGCGTCACGCTAAACAACCCTGGCAGAAACATTGATTCTCGCCTAGTTCCTGCTCTAAACCGTCACACTAATAAGGCCGGCGAAGACAAGCGTGTCATGACGCCACACTGTGAGCTCAGCACTTGTCAGATGGCGACACCAGCAACAGCGAAAACACATTATCCCCGCCATGCTTACTCTGTTTTCCCCTCATCTATCCTTTTTATGCAGAGCTTGTCAGCCGGGATTAGACTCGGTAAACTCCTTCCAATATCTAAATAAGGAAGAGAGGAATGCGTGTTTTCATGCTTTTTACATGTGCTGAAATGAGAGGATAGAGATTTTTGTGACAAAACACAGACTTTGTTGTGAAGGTTGATCGTGTTTATCCTGGTGATTATGGCCTAAGGGTGAAGAGGAAGATCTGGCATCAAATGTGTGTGTGTGTGTGTGTGTGTGTGTGTGTGTGTGTGTGTGTGTGTGTGTGTGTGTGAGCATATTATACAAACACATATTCTCACAGGATATTTATATCGCACATCTGGTAGTTTTACCTGAGGCAAAACACCATCCTGTTTCATCTGTCTTTTTATTATCTTGTTAATTAACTAAACAAGATCAAATAAACTTAATTACAATTGATTATAATGAGTGTATTTCTTTCTCTTTTTTTGGCTAACCAGTGCCCTTATTGTAGATACAGACTTGAACGGATTAGAACCCGGGTCCTCCGCATGGGGACCAAACCCCAGGCAGCCAGCTCTACCAACTGAACTATACAGCGGTCCATAATGGGTGTATTTGATGGTTGGCACTGAGGTTTAGTGACTCATTGGTGGAAGTGGGTTTTTTATTAGGGGGATGTAGTGTGAAAAGGCATAAAAGAGAAAATATAGAGGATTTTATTTATTTGTTTTGCATTTGGAGAATATATAGTGGCCTTTTACTCTGATCATCTGCCTCTGCTGTACAGAAGAATACAATTCATTAATGAAACCATTTATAACTTAATGGAAAACTATTGACTATCTATCTTGATTGAATAATTCATACATGTTATTCATTGGTTAAGATACTATGACACTCAGAGAGCCAAAGGACATTTTCGGATTAAGAACTGAGGAGCCAACAAAGAAACTAAAGCTAGTTTTGGTAAACAAAATGAAAGCTACAATTCAGATCTTCCAATAAAAATCACTCTGTTATTAATTGTCAATTGAACAGCTCCAGATGTTTTCAATGTATAACATCACACGTTTCAGATTTACATGGCCAATTATTGATTGAACTAACATAGTCCGAAGAGGAGTTCTTAATTTAGGTGTGTTCCCCTTTAAACAGGGGGGCTGTGATGACTAGAGTTCCCCCAATGGAGCCTAATGTGTGTGCCCCCCCCCTCTTCCTGTCGTTGACTTTCCACCCACTTACAAAATATTCTGTGTGTGTGTTGACTCGGTTCGGTTCAGCTCAGCTCTGCTAAGCATCAGGCTACTTGCTTAATTGCTCTGTTTGATGACGTCAAACCAAGCAGGGAAGAAACCGCGGGCTGAAATTAAACTTAATCAGGGCCATCGGAGCACCTGCGGAACATTTATCACGGGATGAGCCTGTCAGTGAGACAGAAAGCACGGGTATAATTCGGAGCAGCTAAACTTTCCTCCAGCGCAGCGCAGTGCTGCAGTTTAGTGGCTGGGGAAAGACACGGCATGCTCCCTGTGCATTAAGTGATGTAAAGAGTATGCTTGAACTCATTAGAGTACGCTCAGTAACATCTTTTTTCAACATCTTATTGTCTCGTGGAGCAGCACATGTTGCAAAATGCTGATAATGTATGAAATACCCCTCTAAAGTAGGCACGCAGCTCATTTCAGCACCATGGACAACACACAATGTAAATTAGCGGCGCTGGCCGTGGTGCTGAGATCATAAAACCTGCGTTTTCCATAACACTACAACTTTCTAAATCAGCCGGAAATCTTCAAATTTCAAAATTCAAAAAATTCAAAATTACCCTATTTAAAAAATGATGGTTACTGATCTCTCTGGCTCTACCAAAAACACATTAAGGGGCATTTCAATATTACTAGTGGCTATTTTACATGTGCACATCTTGCCTTTAATTAGACGCCAAACATTCCTCCAGAATTTAGGCACAGGTAGTTTTGATCTGCATGAATGTTCTCCTATGATTCACGGGATGAAATGACTCCTATAATCCCACAGAGCAGTTGTTTAGGGCGGCTCCACGTCCGCGTGGATGCGCCAGAGGGGAGCTTTGCGCTCATGGGGGAGGGACGAGTCAGTCAAGTTCGGATCAGATCAGGAAGGAGCGCACCGGCAGAGCGAGACACACGGCACCAGGGGAGAGTCAGCGCGCGGTTGATTGTTTCATGCCATTACAGATTATTTCTACCGCTCATCCGTCTAACCAACAGCACTTTCTACTGTAAAAAAGTCGAGGATCCTCAAGCGACACGGAGGAGAGATGCAGCCGGCGGCGAGATGGACTTTGCGGCTTCTTATCGTGGGTTTGATGGCGCAAGGTAAGTAGGATTTATCCAATGTTGTCGTAAATATAATGTAGAGTTAAAGTTTTTTAGCAAACATTTTCTTAAAAGTGTAGTTAATTAGAGGTTAACGTTAGCCGGAGCAATTCACTTGATGTTTTTATGGTTCAATTAAACGCGATTCTATAAGTTTGTCTTCATATTGTTTTTGAATAAGTCCTGTGCGTAAAGCCAATTACGTTTTCCAGCCATTATCCGTTGTAATTCATCCTCAGTCGTAACTTTTTCAATTTATCACATTTTAATCATGACCAAATAGTCGAAATAAAAAAAAAGGTGTCGAAATAATTATAAATTCAAAGTTGTTTCCGATGTGTTGTTTTGCTCTCTCGACATGATGGCGTCATAAAGCTCATCCACGACTTAGTTTGGCGATAACAAGGCCAACAAAATGAAATGCAGAAGAATGCGGGAAATGCATTTTGATCAATGCAAATGTTGTTTTGAGGCTGGAGTCGTGTTTTCAGGAAACCACAACTGATTATAATTTGTTTACCGGATCTTGTTTCCCTGTGTGCGGGCTGCTCGCAGAGGGTGGAGGGTAATTCAGGGAGGGCCTGGGCAAACACTGGATTATTCAGACAGAGGGCAGAGAGGGGTTTCAGGCAGGGGGGATTTGACCGTCTGCAGGCATCTGATAATAATAACCCCTCATTGCCATGATGTGGACATTTGGATAAGTCTGGAAACCTTACTTTGCTTTAACCCAATTGTGCTAATGAAAAGTTGTACTGACTTGGCATTCACGTTTTTGCTGCTGTACTTCTTTATGTGAAGATTGAAGTGTATTAAAGGTCTTTGTGCGGATGTTTTGTCAAGTGGGGACATTTAGAGGTTATTTTGATGGATTACAAATAGTGATTAGCTGGTCTCGGACATGAGGAAATGTATATTATTTTGAATGACAAGGAAGAGATTGAATATTGATTGAACAAGGAAGGAAGGAAGGAAGGAAGGGATAGATTGAAAAATAAACGATTAACTGAAAGAAGAAGAAAAGGCAGGTCAAGGGGTTGGGAGAAGGAATTAAGGAAAGGATGAGAAGCAGTATGGGAAGGAAGGAAAGAAAAGACAGACGAAGAAAGAAACAACTAAATAAAACAACAAAAAAGAGAGGCATGGGGGGGGCTAAAGGAAATAATTACAAAGAGTAGGAAAGGAAGAAAGGAAGGAAGAGAGAGACAGATAGAGATATGAAAAAAATACAGAAAGAAGAAGGAAAGGATGACAAGGAGTAGGGAAGGAAGGAAGGAAGGAAGGAAGGAAGGAAGGAAGGAAGGAAGGAAGGAAGGAGGAAGGAAGGAGGAAGGAAGGAAGGAAGGAAGGAAGGAAGGAAGGAAGGAAGGAAGGAAGGAAGAAGGAAGGAAGGAAGGAAGGAAGGAAGGAAGGAAGGAAGGAAGGAAGGAAGGAAGGAAGGAAGAAGGAAAGAAGGAAGGAAGGAAGGAAGGAAGGAAGGAAGGAAGGAAGGAAGGGTCAGATGGATAAAGAAACGATTGATGGAATGAAGAATGAAAAACAAACAGGTGTAGGTGGTCTAGAAATGGAGGAAAGGATGGCAAGGAGTAGGGAAGAAAAGAGGTAAGGAAGGAAGAAAGGAAGGACATGACAAATGGAGAAATAAATGATTGATGGAAAGAAAGAGTACAGGCAGGTGGAGGGCTTATAGAAGGTATTAAAGAAAGTATGGCAAGGAGTTCGGAGGGAAGAGAGGGACAGAGGGAGAAAGAACAGGTTATTGGAAAGAGGGTGCAGGCAAAAGGCTGTGGTCAGCGTCCCTAAGGAATTAGGGAAAGGAAGGAGGAGATAAGGAAGGAAGGATCTGGTATCATAGAAACACACCCAGATTGTAATCAGTGACCAGCTGAGAGAGCTGGGCTGTGACCTGGAGCCACTCTGTGGAAGAGAGGCAGTGACGGTAATGATGCTGCGGCATTTCAAAGCAGTAACGTAAACATTTGCTCCGAAGGGCGTAAACAACAGCTTTCTGATTCATGCAAGGTGGCAGATAGGCTCTCTCATGGTTTATCGGCCTCCACACACACGCTTCATTCCATGCATGACCCTCTTGGCTGGGAGGGGTGTGTGTGATTATTATGTGTACAGTATGCATTTCTGTGTATGTGTTTTCTCTCTCTTTCTCAAGTTTGTTCAGTCATTTGTAAATGTTTTAGGAAAGTACTGGACTTAAATGTAAATGTGTGGAGTCCTTGCTAAAGACAAAGGGATTAGTGTGACCCTCTTTAAATTGGTGCATTTGGGCAGCTACAGTAGCTAATGTTAGCCAGTAAGCAGGCCAGGGGGTAGCTGTGTAGCCTTCAAAAACATTTACTCTGATGAGGACTTTCTTTGTGTGATGAAGTATCAAATGTTATGAGATCTCTATACATTTTCCTAAACCACAGTACAATTTAGAAAACTCATTGCATTACATTTACCAATTGTGTCGCCTCAATATCAAATAAAGTAGTCCTATTCTTACGAATGTAAGACCCTTTACATAAATACGATTCTTAATACATCATTTCAGATGTTTTGCATAATCAGAAATCTGAGTGCATATGTTTAGTTAAACATTTAAGACTCCCTTAACATTTTTAGAAGACTTACAAATCTCATTTTACTTTCACAAATATATTTACACAATCAAGAAATAAGCAGTTCCCTTAAAAACTCTTTATTTCCTACACATTTGACATACATTAATGAATAAATACTGTATATTTAGCAATGTCAACGTGACAAACACATGATGAGGAAACATTTATATTTGTTGAAAATGTTGTTGACTGAAAACATTTTAAAACACTGTTTGACCTAAAGTATTCACTTGTGACCACTAAGAGATGACTTTTCTGGTTACGTTTAGGCCACATGGTTCAAGTAAGATTGTCGTCTTGACTTTAAGCACACGTTTGTATTTTTGTAACTTAAATCTTAAATGTGGGAGACTTACCCTAATCAGTGGTGTGATAATCCATTGCTTTTTGTACATACATCCACTGCCTCACAATGACCTCTGCAATATGAGACCAGTTTCAACTGATGGACAACTACACATACATTTGCAAATTATTTGGGGTAGTCGCACAAAAACCCACTATCTTATATGACAGCATGCACAACAGACACATCCGTGCACACATTCCCTGTTTCAGTACGATCTCCAACAGACACACAGTTCACCTAAATTCAACTTTGACCATGAGGATGTGATACAGTGTTTCTTGATTGAAAAGTCCTTTCCCCTAGGGGTGAGTCATCACCATCTTAGAAACATTAACCTACCAGACAGCAAACTGCAGCATTGCTCTTACAGACTAAATACATTCTGTGATGGCTCTAATAAACATTTCCTAAACTGGGCTCCTGGGCTTAGGGTAGGAAACATTTTACAAACAGAATGTGACTTGAGCTTTAGCTGCAATTTGTTGTTATTTTTATATATGGTAAACAGTGCCTTCACACTACATGACTTCAAAGTCAAAGTAAATAGCATGGACAGATATATACATTATAAGTTGCCTCAGGTGTTTTCAAAATGTGCTTCTACTAATGTGTTACCTCAGCCTGTAGGTATATTCCTGTTACTGGACCTTGTTTTGAAATAGAGGCTGCTCTCTTAATGTATTTGAACACATGACCGATGATCCAGTCAATGAACTGTGGGGATGATGAGGTGTGCCTGTGTGTGTGTGTGTGTGTGTGTTTATGGTTCATGTGGACACGTGGAAACAAGGCTTATATCATAGTAACATTTATAGAGCAGAACACAGAGCAGTGTGGGCGTGGCTCAACTCAAACTGTCTCAGATAAATGGGAACACCTCATATTGCAGTACTTGCTTCATAATACACACATCCAGTGTTGGTCAACAGGAATACAACATTGTTTTCATCATAATTTAAACATAATGCCAATACAGGTTTCCCTTTTTAACCCATGGTTACATTTTAAAGGGGCCCTATAGTGCTAATTTTCAGGTTCTTTTTTGTATTTTGTGCCTCTTCTGTGACATGTTTCCATGCTTTAATGTTCAAAATGGTCTTTATTTGTCTCACACTGCCTGTTCTGCAGAGTCCAGTCTGCTCTGATTGGCCGGCTCTGTTGTGATTGGTCAACCGCAGGTCCCGCCCCAATGTGTTGAACAACAGTATGTGAACAATGTGTTAGAGCGCTAGACAATAGAAATGAGTGTTACATAGTGATGTCATTGTGTTATTTACACGCACAAAACCTATATAACACACAGGAAAGGTAAAACCCCAAAAGCAAAATTAACAGTTTTTTTTAATATTACAAGTTTTAGGAAATTGTATGTGTAATTATGCAAACGAAGCACCATAAGTTGCTCATTTGCATACTTTTGGCGCCATGTTTTATGGATTTATAAAATATGATGTAAATCAGGCTATGAATGATAGAAGAACACATCCTCTGTAAAAACCTTTAGAATATAGATAGAAATAAAACGTTGGGTGTATGTAAGTGCTGGTGAAATAAAATGATTGTTTCACAGTAAAAACAGAGAGCAAAACAAAGATTTTGCTTTTAGAATAAGTATTGTAAAGTCAATACATTTTCCAAACACTACAGGGGAAAAGGGACACATCTTTACCTAATCGATTTCACCATGACTTTCACCGTTTTTACTCACATCTACAAGTACTTAAGGTATTACAAGATAGCTCATTTAATGTAAAATAATATCTGTACCACCCCAAAGAAGAGACATGACCCCTCATTTCTCAAACTTTTGCTTCTCTCAAGGTTAAGATGACGTTTGTTGAACTCCAGAGGGAAGAAACATGGCCCTTTGGGGTCTCATTAACACCCAATAACCTCGAATTGAACATGGCCAAATGATACAAAACTACTGAAGAGATATTGAACGTACTAAGATTGAATGACTCTCTTACATGAAACATATTCAAATGAATGTAACCTACTTTTTGGGTGAACATGCCTTGAGGGAAACG